TGCCCTAAATGTCAGGAAAACTGAGCAGCCTTTTCTGCCTCGTGGCGCATCAACGAAACCTCCGAGGTCAACTGTGGTAAGTTTGATTTGCCTTGCCCCATAGACAGATCTCGATCAAACTGAAACCCGATTAGAAATTACTGGTCCCTGTCTCGATGCTTACTGCTTCTCGCCCCGTGATTGGCTTAATCTTGTCTTCGTAAAAAGGTACTTAATGCCGATAGACATATCCAGTTGAGCACAAGTAACGGTATGACTTACTTCAGACTGCTTACATTCTTTGCGACAGTTGCATGGGCATCAGAATCTCCAGGTAAACTCGCGCATTTTCCACATCATATTTTTAATCGACACTGGTATTTATGTACAGCAGCCAGTTATGCAATGACATATTGTTGAAATATTGTGTGCCTTATTAGTATGCGCTGGAAAAAAAGCTTTCTTGTAAGAAAGCCTATACTTCCCTTCAGGATTAAAGGATACGTTGACCTAGCCATAAGATAAAACTTGCTCACTTTTGACAACTTACCCACATATGGCAAACAGGTGACATTTAAAAGCAAGCCGCACATACAAGCATATCTGATGGTAAGGGGCGCTCACCGATCGTTCAAACGGAACTCACTCGTTCCGTTGTGCTTTAAGGGCTCTCTCTCGAGCCCAGCCAGCAGCTGCACAGCGGCGCATGATATATGGGCAGAATGGTATTACCGGCAAAGACAAGGGTAATACCATTCTGCCTATATATCATGCTCCGTTGTGCTGCTGCTGTTTGGGCTCGAGAGAGAGCTTTTAAGGCACAACGGAACCAGTGAGTTCCGTATGAACGATCGGTGAGCGCCCCCTAACATTCTATATTCCCGATCGAAAACCGACAGGGCAACGGGCTCGTGGCCCGGTGGGTAGAGGCGTGGACTTCTAAACCAACAGGTCGCGAGTTCGAGGTTTGGGTGTTCACACTTCGGGCTTGGGTTTGGCTGGCTGACGACGACTAATAAGCCAGAAATGGCCACTCCAGTCTCCCTTGTCTTTGTTGGTAATGACATTCTACAAACATATCTTTCATGTAGGTCACCCAAATTCGCCATGCCAGTATATACAACCGAATATATCTGCCGAATCTGGTCCACTCGATTTTCTCATTTTGACGGCCGGTTTCCCAGAGGTATGCTTTTTCTGTTCACCAATCCAACAATTGAACTTTAGTAGGAAGACAGATATTCAAGGCAGCATTCGAAATAGTTTACTCAAATGAAAATTAGCAACACAGACCAGTGTATGGGATTGCTTGTTTTTTATATGGGTCGGTAAAATTGAGAGGAAAAGCAGTTTTGATTGCGGATATCGCAACTGCCCTTTAACATACAATGTTTCAAGATACACTTGCAAACGACATTTTTCTGCATTCCTACAGACCATTACGTTCCCTGAGAAGGGTACAACGTTCAATTACGAAGGTATCAACGGCTGCTTTTCTGGATCGCAGCGAATCGATTGCCATACAACTTGTTTCAATACCGTGGACCTTGGTGGTAAATTTGATTATTTATGAGAAAACATACCACAGCTAACAAAATACGCTGCCGCAGCCGTAGAAACTTTAATTGCACTTTATTCCATTTCTATCTAAAGGCACGTTTCGTTATTTTTCATTCCAGGGCAGCCGTTATGCTGGTTAAAACTGAAAGTCCCTGAAATCACTGGCCTAAATGCCATATATATTACATCAAAATATCAAGGCTTCGAAAATGTTCAGGGCATATACCGACCGCACGGTGAATACGACAAGAATGGTTAGTACTTAATTGTGCATTGTAATGATCAGTGCCAAATCATGT